CACTTTCACTTCCACAATTTTGCGTCAAAGCTCCTGGGTTATTTAAACTTTTTAATTCTAAATTTTTCTTGGAAGTCACAAAAAAGTCACAATTATACATTAAAAAATGAACCTTAGTTTTATAATAAAAATATATTTACTTCGACAAAATACACTAGTTCTAATAAATTTAAATTATGAGGTAAATTGTGACACATATTAAGTGTCACTCCAGAAATGCGGCTATAGCGTTTAGAAATTCGAAAACAGTTTTTCTTTCAACAATCGCAAAGAAGTATCGTTATCCAATTGGGTGAAACTTTGCAAGACATCCTCGTAAAACTTCTCAGTAATAAAATCGCTCTTCATTTTGAAAAAAATGTCAGAATCTGTGCTAATGACATTTTTTAGGCTTTTCACGTCAAGGTTGCGTAAAATGGCATAAGCCGTATTGTAATTGTAACAAAAATCATCAAAATTATTGCACATAACATTTGCTGCTACATATTCCAACATCGACCTAGTCATTATGCACACATATTTTACGTGCAAAATTGATTTATAAGTTTCGAAATATAACAAAAGTTGATTCATATATAACATTACATTCGTAAAAACTTGCTCATGCCGAAAAATACTTGTTAGAGAGTCTACACTTTTTGTTAAAATATCGAGTATAGAAACATTCTGAAATAATACCGACTTCATAATATATATTTCAGAGACGCTTCTGGCGTACAGTGGATGCGTCTCAAAGTATCGAAAAATGTCCTTATTTTGAAAAGATGACCACTTTTTTACTCTTTGGGGCAGTGTCTTCATGATTAAATTGCGAAACACATCTATTTTTACGTTGACATTTTCGTCATTAGTCTCATGTGGTACCCAATCGTTGGATTCTAAAATTTTCTCGGCGACATCCTTCACATCTGCCCCGGCGTCGATCAGAAGATTCGCGATTTTGTTGACTTCCAAATGGTCCGAACACTGCGACTCCCCCATGTAAATTTGAAAAAGCAAATTTCTGCCTCTCGAGTCCTCGACATCAGGATCGGCGCCATACTCCAATAATAAACGTGCACATTTTGCAGTTTTGACGTAATGTAGTGGGGCCATGCCTCGACCATCGAGTTGCCTTATGTCAGCCCCTCTTCGTAGTAAAATCCTGAAACAATAATAATTTATTGTAGAAATTACAATTACATCAATCAAAATTGTTTAAATTTTGCAAAAGAGATTATCAATCTGATGCAAATTTGGTATTTATTTGATTTTATTTCCATAATCTTATTCTAAATGACCGTTTTGAGAAAATACATAATCATCTTCAATTTCAAGTTGAAATTGATGTCAGTATTTTTTTCCTTGTATATGTTATGGTTTTAAGACCTCAGCGTTTCTTTCGATCAAACAAACTTTTAACAAAATATAAAACTTTATCGTTTGCCAAAATTAAAATGACGATAGTTAATTAATAATACAAAANAATAATCACGTTGAAAAGATTATATTCCTTCTTATTTACGATACATCATATTTATGTTTTTTAATTCAAGTGCAAAAGCCATCTTAAACTTGACACTTTCTTAATCAACTTAACTAATAATTATTGTGAGTTATTTTACTCGCATTTTCTACACGCCTAACTCAAGCTTATTTCAGATTGTCAAAGCATTAGAGACGGTTCAACCAGAAGTTGATGATAAAATCCTCATTACCGAAGAGAAATCAAAAAATACTTGAGATAAGAAATTTTTTTTTCATAACGAGCAGTGATAAATCGTGAAAGCGATGCGATATGAAATATCAAGTAAGTTTCTAAAAAACATTTACCTCCTTAACTCTAGTAACTATCGAAAGTTATTTTTAAAGCCCAACATTAGATACAGAAATTTTTTTTTTTTTTTATACCCTTCGGTATTTTAGATTACTTGTACTCACAGTCCAAAGCCTGGATCTAGTGTGACAGAAATAAATAACTTTCATGTAACACATCAATTTTTAGAGTCGATTAAGCTTTTTTTTTTTTTTTATAAATCCCAAGAACCCGATCGAAACTGTTATGACTCATGAAAAAAGTTGTCGAACAATATTTATTGTTCATCGGTGGTTATCATAAAAAAATTGAATCGGAAGAAAAATGGATTTTCCCCGTCCGTAAACACATCAATCAATTGCTTTACGAAACCTCTCAAAGTCATTACTTACAGGAAATTGTAAATAAAATAATAAAAATTATTAATAAATAAAATTTTTGGTGAGTGACCATCAAGTAAACCACAAATAAGCTCGAAGATCGAAAGTGAGATCGAGCTGGCAAGATATGCAGAGTAAATTTTACTTTTTTCACATAATTAAATATCACTCGACAGCCACTCACCTCCACGTGCCTCCAAATAAACAGTAAAAATACGAACCGATCAACCAAGGGACTATTTAATACAACATTTGCTATAGCATTGTCCTCTCCTCGCGTCACCTAAGTACAGCTTTGAGAGTTGTGTCCCGAATTTCGAGCTACGGCGTTCATACGCCTAAGACCACGTGCTGCACTGCAGTGTTACTTACTAATTTCGCTGCGAATACCGGACATCTGGCATCACATGCGTCCCAGTTTTTTTTTTTTCCAGCTCTTACAGTACGAAATTCTGATAATTTTTGTGTACATTTGCTTTCTCGTGGCGATCAAGGAAATTCGAAAGTCCTGAATCAAAGTTAATGTTAATTCGTGAATTATTTTGCGATATTGAGTTATTAATGGAATTGGGACCAATCAATAACTGCAGTAAGTATCTCAAAGATTTTCAAACCTTAAATAAGTGGTTAAAATACATACACGAGTACTTGTCCGGAGAAAGTAGTTTTTTCCTTCGCACACGGATCGAGTACACGCAGCTCCGGGTACGTCTAACCGACGCAACAAACTGACTACTTATGTTTAAAGGAAGTATTTCCTGTACGGTAATCCCCTCTGCTTCTCTGCTATTGTTACTTGGTGTTACCGCGCCATTTTAGCCCAAGATGAGATAAGATGAGGATGTTTACACGAGTGATTCCGCGAAAAATTATTCGTGCGTGAAAAATTGAGACCATGAAAGTATGGTGGAACTGATTTTTATTTCTTTTTTGTAACGTCATTTGATATTTCAGAAATTCGCGAGCAGCAGTAATCCTTTCTTTTGGACTACCTCGAAATTTTGCGTAAATTCGCGAACTGACTTAGAAACTGACAAAATCTTAAGAAATTCAATTAATTTACTTATGTTCTTCGAGATTCTGTTCTTTTTTTTGGACTCAACAAGTTTCATTGGGACGCNTGTGTTCGTGAAAATATTTGCAACCACTTAGCGACGAATTCTCTTGCAGAAGATTGTCGATCAATACTTTCAATACAATATTTTTCTCCCTTACTTGTAACGTTGACAACTTTTTCTTGATTCGGCCATTATGCCTATTGTAATTTGTGCCTGAAGAATCGACACTGAAATTCATTTTTACTTGTTATCACTAAATATGATCTGAACTGCTGCTGAACACTTTCACTTCCACAATTTTGCGTCAAAGACGTAATAATTGTATTTACTCCAATTTTTGCAGCGAACTTAGGCTCTCGTCAACTTTTGAAAATCCAACCTTTGTGTATTACTTAAAATTGTGCTGACGCGTGGTGAACGCAACACTAAAGTAGTGATGTAGCACTTACGTTTATCTATGACTCTATGCGCAAGAGAAAAATGTTTCGGTGCCGATTAGCGCTGAACAGTAAAAGTTGAGGTAGCCCACCACTCACCACTTTTAACGTTAGTTTCCATAAATTAAAATGTATGATATAGATTAAATTGTTTCTTTTCCAGAATAAATTATAAAATAAATATTCTTACCATATTGCTTTTTAAGATAATAAAGTTGCAAGTTTACTATTTTAACACTGGTTACAACGGGCAAAAAGAGCTACTTAATCAACTAAGAAAATTCTAAAAAATATACCATAAGAAAAATTTAAAATTCGTACTATTTTATAAAAAGGTATACTCAATAGATGCTCAACTTTCTATGACTGTTGCCATATCTCAGCAGAACGTAATAATAAGTCTTTTCTACATTCAAGCGTTACGCATATTTTGAATGCACTAACAGATGATGTATTGTAGTTAAGCCTGTGGGTGGTAGACTACCTTAATAATGTTTTAATTACTATATAATTTCCAACGGCTGTATACACGTACTTGAAAACTTGTGACGAAAAGTATCTCATACGTTTAAATAACTTCAATTTCAAAAACTAAAGTATTCTACATACAATATTGGGCATGTACTTACAGATTACGCAAAAGTTATAAAAAAAAAAAAAAAAAAAAAAAAAAAAGTTATAAAAAAAAAAAAATAAATCATTTAATGATTTTTGTTAAAGATACAAAATTTTTACTACACAGAGTCTCAGTTATAACGTTACGGCAATAAGGACGCACTTGATGAGGTTGGAAAAAAAAACTAGAAAGTTTGATCAACATAACATGTGTCTATGTACAAAAACTCACAACTGATTAAGAATAAAGAGCAAAATTGACAATTCAACCAGGACACATAACATATATCACTTGGTTTTCTTTTTTTTCTCTATTACACGTTCTGCAATAATTTTTTGCTTAAAAATTGCATCTATTTTGGTTACGCAGTAGGTACTGTGTCTTCTTGCCATGCACGTAGCGCTGTCAGATTACCACACGCAGTGAATATTCTATAGCAACGTAGCAGCTCAATGCTTAAGATATTTATTAGAAAATAATATCGTATATAAGATATACAATTGAGTGTAACTACTTTGTAAAATAAACAAGTTTCAAATATTTACTCAATGCTTGCATATGCATGTCCATAAAAAAATGGAAATATAGCTGCTTATATGATACTTGGTATACAAAAAAAGTTGAATTATAAAAAAAGTTTCATTCAAAATAATAATACCATACAACGAGCCTACCAGAAAAATTTTTAAATACTTTTTAATTTTTTTTTGTTAATTTTAATTTTAATTTTTTCATACAAAAATATCTTACAACATATCTTGATATGTGTTGTATTTTTTTTTTTTTTTTAACGAAAAGTGCTTTATTTTATAATGTACACAAGAATTTGGTGTTTAAAAAATTCAAGGGTTTGATTTTTTTATACGAATAGAGTGACTAAAAGTTAGTATCAAAATTCTAAATGGATACCTGAATGGAATTCAATACTATTAAAAAAAACTTTGGTNCGCAAAAGTTATAAAAAAAAAAAAATAATAATGATAATTATAATGGTATTAATAAATTCATACAATCATGTGGCTATCGACACTCTTCAGTAATAGCCAATTTTTCAGATTGTTTTGCATGATATCAATGATGAATTAATTTATTCATAATACATGAATCTATAAGTATGTTATACGGTGCATAAATAATAGTACATTCCTTTTTTTGGTACTTTTCCCAGATTATTGCAAAAGTTCCCATGTGATAAAAATGCAAAAAATTAAAAGTTAAAAAATAAATTAAAAATTATAAATCATGTGATATTTCAAACATCAAAAATATTTTTCTTTCGAAAAATTAGAGGAAAAGCATATGAATAATCTTTTAACTTTTGAATTCTAGATACTTAATACACAAGAGTGCAAAAACGAAATTTAGACTACGTGGTCTACTTTTATATTTTAAATATTGATCTCTACAGCTGATAAAATTATTGCAAACGTCACAAAATTTGTCTAAGCACACAAAGATATCAAATAAATACTGTGACAGGTATTTGATATTGCACCTCCACAATTCGATTGGTAGTTAATTTTTTACACCTAAGAAAGTTAATAATTAATTCACGATTTTTACATTAGAGTTGAATAATAATTATTTCATTTCTACTCACGACGTATATAATGCATGTACTATAATTAAACTTGCGAGACCAAAAAACTATATTTCCGACTGCGTCATTTACACTGCTTACTTTAATCTTTACAAATCTATGTAAAATGACGTCGATGTAGAAAGTTCGTTTTCATTACCATTTCAAAACATCTTCTATCATTGTTACTCAATTATTGTGATTAAGTATTCAAGATCTGAGATAGCTCGTTATATCATGGGAATTTTTATCCTATTCAACAGATTTTAAGAAGTTCGAGAATCATCGCAAAATTCTTGTGCGCGTATCTTTTCCAGTTCCACTATTTCATGATATAGCTTATAGATCTATCAAAGAGGGTCCGACAAAAAAAATTTTTGATAACGCTGAAACACAATACGGGGGTCAGTAATTGAGTTACGTTCAAACTACCATTTAAATAAATCAAAACTTTTGAAAATCACTTCTCCTAGTTAAAATTATATTGAGTTTTCTATTTAAAAAAAAAACGACATATAAAAAACTTTTTTTTTTTTTTTCAATATTTGTGGAAAAAAATTTAGAAAAAAATTCATATGCACAAGTCAAATGTGGTCAAAAGTAAAAAGGACATTTAAACAGTTGAAAAAATAATCCTCTTTTTTACAATAGGCAGGGGTTCCCAAAGAAAATTATTGACCCATATAATTATCATTGAAATGTTGACTGTTGAATTTCATTGCGTAAAATTTTATCCAATTGTATACTGTTTGCTACTTTTTTTTCTTCCTGTTTACAAGGTAAATTTAGACAAGTAAAAAACTCGTGGCTGAATTTATTCTTGCAATTTAGGCACGGCCAATTCACGGTTTGCCAGAGCAAAAAGGGCAATTTTGACTGTAGGAATTTCGTTGGAGATTATATTTTTTCACAAAATTTTAAATAATACAATATTATTACGTAGTACAAATCAATTTGTCCGCCTTTTTAAAGTGCTTTTTGATGTACCTTATGTTAGGATGACACTGAAGACATAAACGCCAAACACAAATAAGTCTTTTTTTATAAAATCTATGAGTTTTATATCAAGCAAATATGGCACTTAAAAAAGTTAAATGCTATAAAACGATTTCTTCATCTAAAATGTAAGGATAGCAATATTAACAAACGTTGAACGCAAACGTGTAAAAATGTATGTGTTGAAACTTAGAGCCAAAAAATATAGAGTGCTATAGTTAAAATTCTGGAAAAACTTTTCTCTCCGATAAAAACTAACCGAATGCAATACATCAGCGTATAGACGTTGAACTTGAACTTACCAACAAAACTTTGAGCCCATTTGAATATGAACTACCTGAAATCGTTGAAAAACTTATACATGCATGTGATGTCCCTCCTAAAGTAATAAAAAAAAATTTTTTTTTAAATGTACATGTAGGCATCAAGGGGTTGGTTTACGAAACAAGTTTCAAGCAAAAATTGTAAACAAAACATGATTGATATGAGTCCAAACTGTGTGCAGTTTTACGCATTTCTAGAAGTTTGTTAGCAGTTGCAAATATTTTGCTAATAATAAGTAGAATTTTAGTATAATTAAGTACAAAATAATAGATAATAAAATGCACAAAAACGATGCACGATACACTTGATATTTTTTACCATGGAATAATTAGTTTGTCTGTTTTTTTACTGACAGCTACTGTACTAATGTCACCAATTTTACAACACCATCAGCTAATAAAACAAGGTGCGATAAGATAAGGACATGGTATACCTAGCACGATTCGCATCGGTACATGATGTACAAATATGAATGATTCTGCAAAAAATTGTTGCGAAAAAAGTTTAGAGCAAATTTTAGGTTTTTTTTCATATTTACTATTATTAAGTTATCAAAACAATTCTAATTTACTTTATATCTAATTTTTGACAACCTTAAACCAACTAAAAATTTTTTAGTTATTACTATAATTTTTTTCTTATTCAAAAATAATATTGTTCATATAACTGAGCTCATTTTTAACATTAAAGTTCTCTTGTAAAATTTTCGTAAATACCTTAGTTTTGAGGGTCAAATACTGCATTGTTTTCAAGTCGCCAAGATTATAATTTCAGTATATAATACTAATTATATGATATCTAAAATTACTGAGCGCACAAGCATGTACATAGCACATGTTGATCGATTACAACTCAGTTACACAACAGCAAGCGATTGTAAATATTTTTTATCTCAAAAAATTTGCTTCAAGATAAAATTTGAGCCTTGAAAATAATGCAGTGTAATAATCGAGGGGTAATCGATTGAAAGTAAAACTCTGAGAATTTATAAGCAAAGGGGTTATAAAAATGTAATAAGAGATTTTTGTGTCTAAAATAAGCAACAGAGTCTAGAAAAATTTTTTGAAACAAAAAATTACTTTTTGTGATTTGCCATGCGAAATTGTTAATACCAATCGATTAATAATTTTCTGAAAAAAATTTCCCTACATTTCGTGTTCAGAGAACCAAAATACATAAAATAAAAAAAAAGTGTTTCCATGGACTTCGATCGGCCACATTCACTTCCGGGCAAACCCGAACAATTTTCAGAGTCTAAAAATTCGGTACACTACTTAAAACATTAAGATATATTTTTTTTACAAACTAATAAATCATTTTATCTCTTGAAAGAATCACTTTCAAAATGTGCATTCAAGCAAAAGAGTGTATACAAATGAAATATAATTTTTACGTATGAAATAAAAAATAATTTGTATTTATTAAATTATTCTTTCAACCAGAAATTTATTTAAAATATCATGATTTTTGTTTCACAAAGTATTATTGTAACCTACAAAATGTAAGACTTTATTTAAGCCTTGTGGTACAACCACGTATGGCTCCAAAAAATTATTACATGGGTAAATAATACATAATGCCAAAAAGATCGATAACATACAGTTTGAATTAATATGATATAAGTACATGAATATAATACTAGATATAAAACCAACTATAATTACAGAATTTTGCGAGAGTAACATTATTTGACAATTCTAAGGAATATTGAATAATCAGAACATTTCGTTTATAACAATTTAGTGTATGACAAAAGATGTTTCTGAAATTATTTCTTATCGTGGTTTGGTACAATTTTTATGTTTTATTTACAAATAAGAGTGATTCATAAGATATTTATCGTGATTTTACATTATTTTGTTTGCAATACATAAAAAATTAACATGACGAAAGTTAGTAGTATTAAAGAATATTTGATATCCACGAAATGAAGCTATAACTTGGGTGACAATCCATTTTCACTCTATCCCATTGGCTCTTATCCTGACTCATAAGAAATGAAAATTTACTATAGATTTAAAGGTGATAAAATGACAAGATGTTACGAAAGAAATCACCTACTATAGAATCAAGATATCGGTCCAAACGATCGAACACAACTGCGATGGTTGTACATAATTTAGAAAAGGCGTCAGCGAATTTAGTATTTAATTCAAAGTGATTTACTTTGTTGAAATTTGGAGATAAATTTTTTGTGTATACTTGCGGCTTACGAAGAATCATTGTCAACTCAATGAAATCGTGTTCAGAGCAGTAAACGGAGCACCTGATTTCGAGTATTGTTTCTAAGGGGGGTGGAGTGACAAGTGGGAGCAGAGAGGGTACCAGAAGTAATAAGTGCGCATTCAAAAACCGACGGAAGAGAGAGAGAGAGGCACAGTCGGAATATCACCCGTTAAAATCTCCGGTAACAACAATATTCGTATAGGCAGGCAAGTCAGCAAATAAAACTGTACAAGGAGTTTATGTGTTTTAAGTGAGATTTCCAAAACTATACGCATACTCCGGGGTATTATCGAATATTGGGTCTGAGGAATGTAAAATTTTTGCTGGTTGGTCGTCACGGGTGTATATACAGATAACACCTTCCTCTTTGGTTTTGCTAATAGCTATAGGAACACCAAGAAGTCGAAAATATCAAGATGAAAGATAGAGTGAGGAGATGGAATATTAAATGTTTGACAATGGACTATTGATTTATAAACCGATACGTAATTTAAAATTATCTATATATACGCCAGTGATATTAAACAACACAGTTAATACTAATTACTGGCCTGGACCACAGCACTGAATTATTACAGCCATCTTGCTCACTGGTCCAGTTTTGAAAGTAGAGCAATAACAGACACCAGATTGGCAGAGGATCACAATCCCATGGGTATAGAGGTGCACCCTCAGTAAGAGAGAGCAAATCAGTTGAAGTCAAGGCCCAGTCACGGGAGGGAAAAAGTAACTGTTTTTGGCGGACTCCTATAGGCTCAACAGGAAAGCGACCGTGATTTATGCTCTCAGAAAGCTAGACAAATAGAAAAAAAACACTGCAACTAAATTACTTTCTGGGACTTATTTTCAGCCAAAATCCATTTTTCGCATTCGGCACAAAACTAAATCTATCGTACTCGAAAGGTACCGGTGATTTTTGGCACAATTCCAGACTACACTTGGTCAAAAGGTGCAAAAACAAAATCTTGGTCTCGAGTACGGCGAAGCGATTCCCAATGCACACCCTTGGGCCCATTCCAAAGCCCAAATTCGTCACCCCGGTCAGCGGGAACTTTTTCCCCAAAAACCTGTTCGGATCGAACGCCTCGGGATCCTCGAAGTAACCCGCGTCCGCGTGTATGGCACAACTCGGCACGAAAATTCCGTCTCCCTTCCTCACCACGTAAGGCTCGCAACCCGGCAGGGCCGGCGGCAGCTCAAAGTCCTCCGACGCCAACCGCCGTAGCAAACTCACTGGGTACAACCTCATCGTCTCGCTGAAAACCGCGTCCATGTACGGCATTTCGTTACTTACAACTTCGTAACTTGGTTTCCCACTGCATTTCTCCATCACAGCGTCCACTTCATCCTGCAAGCGTCTCTGGACGTCCGGACGAGCCGCGAGCTCATTGGCTATCAGACACATCTGGGACGCGATGCTTTCGAAACCACCGAGAAAAAATATAAATGCCTGTGCCGTGATGTCGAGCAAACTCTCCCGCGACTTTGTATCCCTTGCCTCCATCATGATTTGCAGCATGTCTGGCCTCGTGATGCCCTTTTCTTCCCTCGTTCTGATGGTCGTTTCGATGATGTCGACAAAGTAGTCGGTGTCCGGCTTCGACACGAGCCTCAAGCCGAGTTTCCGCGACAGCGAGGGAAAGCCGTTCATGAAGACCAACTTGGCCACGGGAATTTTCTGGAAGTCCGTGCATCTCTTGCCCGCCACGTAAAACCGGTTGTCCCTGTCCCTCAGGCTGTCGACCTCTATCCCGAAGGCGCACGTGGCTATGACGTCGTTGGCGTACCTCGAGAAGGCGTCTTTCGTATCGATTTCCCCTTCGTCCTTGTAAAGATGGACAAACAATTGGGTAAACCTTTGGGCGCACTCGTTCATGGGCGCAAACATCCCTCGCATCTTGCTCGACGTAAAAGCCGGGCTCAGTAAATTTCGCACCTCGCGCCACTCGTCCCCGCCCAGTAGGGCCAGATTTTTGCCCAGCAGTGGGTCGGATTGCACGTCGACGAAGCTCCGGCGGTCGGAAAAGTGGTCAAAGTTTTTCACGAGGACGGTTTTTATCAGGTCCAAGTCGCGCACCACGACTATACGCTCGGCAAACATGTGGCAGCCCACGTACTTGGCTTCCTTGTTCAGGTGGTACAGGTCCTTGAGTATGTGGTTCATGTGCCGTCCCTTGAACACGTTCTCCACGGATGTTCCGAGGAATGGCCACTCGAACGGCTGGGGTATGCCCCTTTCCGAGAAATGGTACCTTCTTCTGTTGGCTTTGTAAAATACAAATGTGACTACCAAAACGACGAGTGTCCATGCTAGGTAGTACATCCTTGTTTTGTCCCTATTCGACGTGTGGGAGCTGTCGAGCGAGAAATTCGCGAGCGCCAGCTGTTTTATATCTCGGGTGGTGGCCGCTACGTCGGCGAAAAGTATGAGTACGTGGATGTGGTGGCGACAATAATTATAAATGTATGTGTTTATGTACGAGAGATCGGAGTACAAAGATATCGTTGTACGCGGGTCTTTTATCTCTGCGGCAGATAATACGGGACCGAGTGTGGGAAAGGTATGAGGAGGATGGTTTTCTCTTTATATTGAATGTTAATTGGGTACACGTATATTTGGGTCCTGTATGTTTGCCACAAGGAAATAAATTAGGGTATTACGTGCGAGTTCTTGGGATGACTTGTATTTCACAAAAAAATTATCAAGGGCGATTTAATTACCAAGTTTGGCAAAAATCTTGTTTTTTCTCCAAATTTTTTTTCACGATAATAATTGATAAGGATTTTAATTAGATTACCACCTTTTTTTTTTTACTGTGTGTTACACAATAATGTTTCGAGTGACTTATCTTAAGTTTGACGTTTTGTTTTTTTTGGGCAATAACAAAACAAAAGTACTCGGATTACAAAAAAAAAATTGAGGAAAAAGGGTTTCCCTTTATACTTGTTGACAAAAAATGCATAGTTAAAGTATAGCTTAATTTGAAATCATCAAATCGTTAAAGGTAAACATTTATTTGGAACTGAGAAAATTTTAACTTCTGATTTTTCTGTTAACTTTGTTTTCCATTGAATAATTGTAAGATATAGTAGTTAAAGCATAAAAAGTAAAAAAAAACACTTTTGAAAATCGACCAGAATCATTTCGAAACACTTTAAGTCTATATAACAAACGATTAAATTGACGAAACTTTCATAAAAATAAATAAAAGACGTCTAATAGGATATATGTTTGCAACCAAATCACAAATTAATAACTTTTAGATTATGGAAAATCTTTATTACCATATTTTTTAAANACTCTAGTCAAAGTGTAATTAAAATTATTAAATGATAGTACCAACCTGAGGCCTTTCACGTTGTTCCGCGCAATCAGGGCACGTAAAATGGGGATCTCGTGCGAATTTACATACTTCAAACAAACGGTGAGTAAGTACAAGTTTCGAGCAGCCTGACTTGATACCAAAAATCTTAGAGAACCATCCTCTGAACAACAATAAACTCCCGCTGCTTTCAAGTACACTTGCACAATTTCATCATGTGGTTGAAGATTGCGTTTAGCTATTACCTTTGACATATCTTTGCTTAGTTGGACCATGTGTTCGTGAAAATATTTGCAACCACTTAGCAACGAATTCTTTCGCAGAAGATTGACGATCAATACTTCCAATACAATATTTTCCTCCCTTACTTGTGACGTTGACAACTTTTTCTTGATTCGGCCATTATGCCTATTGTAATTTGTACCTGAGGAGTTGACACTGAAATTTATTTTTACTTGTTATCACTAAATATGATCTGAACTTGTTTATAATGTTCGTTTAAAGGGAAGAAGAAAAGGACTGGTCAGAGCGTTTAAGTCGAATGAGTTAAGCATAATTGAATTTACGTCTAATTTATTTCATTTATTTTACTGATATTTCATCGTAAAGTGAGATGATCGCATGCTTATCGGGTTAATAGTGACAACAGTTATTATTAGCGCCGACGTAAAACACTATATAGCGGGCAAACAAAATTAGGCACAATTAAATTGAAAAAGTAACGCAGCTCATTTGAACGCAACATACTAGCTGCACACAAACGAAATCAATCAAACAGTAAAATAATCACCAGTCACAAAGCACACCCACGGAGCGCAAGGCGAAATACAATAGTAAATTAAAAGGTGCAATATATGCATATATATATAGTCTGTACCACGCAAACGCTTCAGACGTAGCTATCGCTGCGCGTATCTTGTACGTTGGCCAAATGGCGGCGAATCGAGTGAGACATAGGAACGCATACCTGGGCACGTGCTGTGGCGATGCGGCGGGAAATATGGCGTCGGCCTGTACCTTGTATACGAAGGTCTTGTGCGTGGATGATGATGACGACCACTGCTCGGGTTGGCTTGAGAGCTCTGCTTGGCCAAGAGACAGATGGACGTTGCTCGTCTATTCACTCGGGCTCGAGAGTGTGGTAATATGGCGGATGGCCACCGCGTGGCCTGGAAACTTTAGACACAAGAAGAACAGCGTCTCAGGCGTCGTCTATGCAGCACATGTAGTGTCACCCGGAAGGACAGCTCCCGTGGCCTGCGAGGAGGGACAGCCCCCGTAAGCAGTTCTTTGGGAGGACAGCATCCGATCAACGGTAAAGAGTTCAGCTCTATGTTTCCGAGGGCGCAAATGGCAGAAAAGTTCGATCGTGCGTAAAAACGTTTCGTTTGCGTCGACCTCGAGGTGCTCTGTTACACGGCAACAGCTCTCGCTTGCTCGAATTTCAAGTGGCTACTCCCGTCTCCCACGCATTCTCCCTTCTCTGTCTCTCTTTTCAGTCCTACCTAGCCCCTCCTACCTATTCACTTTGTTGCCTGCGTTCCCTTCTCTAACCCGAACAGAACTGCTGCTGAACACTTTCACTTCCACAATTTTGCGTCAAAGCTCCTGGGTTATTTAAACTTTTTAATTCTAAATTTTTCTTGGAAGTCACAAGAAAGTCACAATTATACATTAAAAAATGAACCTTAATTTTATAATAAAAATACATTTACTTCGACGAAATACACTAGTTCCAATAAATTTAAGTTATAAGGTCAATTGTGACACATATTAAGTGTAACTCCAAAAATGTGGCTATAGCGTTTAGAAATTCGAAAACAGTTTTTTTTTCAACAATCGCAAAGAAATATCGTTATCTAATTGGGTGAAACTTTGCAAGACATCCTCGTAAATCTTCTCAGTAATAAAATCGCTCTGCATTTTGAGGAAAATGTCAGCATCTGTGCTAATGACATTTTTTAGGCTTTTCACGTCAAGGTTGCGTAAAATGGCATAAGCCGTATTGTACTTGTAACAAAAATCATCAAAATTGTTGCACATAACGTTTGCCGCTACGTATTCCAACATCGACCTAGTCATTATACACACACATTTTACGTACATAATGGCTTTGTAAGTTCCTAAATATGACAAATGGTCATTCATGAAAGACATAACACTCATAAAGACTTGCTTATGCCGAAAAATACTTATTAGAGAGTCTGCACTTTTGGTTAAAATGTCGAGCATAGAAATATTCTGAAATTTCGTCACTTTCATGAAAAATATCCCAGTGACGCTCTTGTCGTACAGTGGATGCGTCTCGAAGCATCGAAAAATGTCCTTATTTTGAAAAGAACACCCCTTCTTAACTCTTTGGGGCAGTGTCCCCATGATTAAATTTCGAAACGCACCTATTTTTACTTTAAGATTTTCGTCATTAGTATCATATGGTACCCAATCGTTGGTTTCTAAAATTTTCTCGGCGACATCCTTCACATCTGCCCCGGCGTCAATCAGAAGATTCGTGGTTTTGTTGACTTCCAAATGGTCCGAACACTGCGACTCCCCCATGTAAATTTGGAAAAGCAAATTTCTGCCTCTCGAGTCCTCGACGTCAGGATCGGCGCCATACTCCAATAATAAACGTGCACATTTTGCAGTTGTGACGTAATGTAGTGGTGCCATGCCTCGACCATCGAGTTGCCTTATGTCAGCCCCTCTCCGTAGTAAAATCCTGAAACAATAATAATTTATTGTAGGGATTACAGTTACATCAACCAAAATTGTTTGAATTTTGCAAAAAAGATTATTAAGCTGTTGAAAATTAGGTATTTATTTGATTTTATTTCCATAATCTTATTCTAAATGGCCGTTTTGAGAAAATACATAATCATCTTTAATTGAAGTTGAAATTGATGTCAGTATTTTTGCCCTTGTACATGTTTTAATTACGAAACCTTAGTAACTATTATCATCAAACAAATTTTTTATGACATTTAAAATATTACCAACGTCGTGTAAGATTTAAATAACAATAACTAAATAAAAATACAAAAAATTAATCAAACAATGCA